ATGGCTTCGGATAAGGTACGGATACATGTTCGTAAATTAGATCATTTTATACTTTATCACAAATTTGAAAAAGTAAAGTGTAAAGTATAAAATGATCTAATTTACAAACATTCGTACCTTATCCGAGGCCATTCTTCGTTTATTTTCCTAATATTTATTGCAATAAATAATATTTTCATAATGAAACGACGGACATATTGTACGCTTTCTCGATTTTGCCGCTTGCTGCTTGCTGTTCGTTCGGTTCAACTTCAACGAACTGCGGCAAAATGTATTTTGCGCTGGAAGTGCGTCATCTAGCTTACATAAAATTCTTAACCAATAGTAACGAATTGCTGCTGCAGCGTGCTGCGCATGAAAAAGTACCTTTAGGCTGAGACCACACGATGCGGAATAGGACTGCGGAATAGAGAGTGCGTCATTCAAGCAACCAATCAATGCTAGAAAGCAAAATGAGGAATAACGCTGATTGGTTACTTCAATGACGCACTCTCTATTCCGCAGTCCTATTCCGCATCGTGTGATCTCAGCCTAAGGGCGAGTTCACACCTTGATGGAAAAACGGAAAGCGGAAAAGCAGTAGCCAATCAGGTACTCGACCTTTCTGTTAGTTTTGTACGTACTATTTACTACCAGCGCGAGTTCTGATCGGTTAACTGCTCTTCCGCTTTTCGCTTTTCCGTCAAGGTGTGAACCCGGCCTAAAGGTATCTTAAATATAGATGCCTGAACTTAACCTGGTTTCCACCGCGCAAAATGTCATGTGAATATTTCCCTTGAAAGTTTACAAAGGCATTTAAATTCATAATATAAATTAATCTTTTTGGAAAAAGATGTTTGTTCAAATGTAGATACTAAGATATTTGTCGCTTGTTTGTGTATAATGAACAATGTTTAACAAAATAATCATACAGTTAATAATTTGAAAGTCTAATGTTTATATCGTATATTATTATTTATTTATCATTACACGTAAAATCTCTGTAAAATAAAAATGAATTTGAATAAATCTGTTTTATATAGGCTATGACAGCTACTATATGTTTAATATATTTACATGATCCAACATATCCTTATGTGACATATATTTTATTTTAATTAAATTTATTAAAGAACTTAAAATTCGTATAAAGATAACACATAACAAACCCAACTTTTGTGTAATTTCAAAGGATTGAAAAGTGAGGTTAAAAAAAACAGATATATATCGACTGGGTGTGACTTATTTTCGAAGAGTAAAAATTAATTTGAGAGCAATGGCAGGAATTAATTGCGCAGTTTCAACAAGCTCACGTCAATTATTACTACACATGAGAGGTATGAATTTGTAGCTGAAGAAGTATCGGCGAGTCTGTCCATTCATTGACATGAACAAAATGTAAATTTGTAATTTCCAATGTTCTTTTTAAAAGGATTCACGTGTCCGTTTTCATCAAAGAGTACAGACGAGATCAGCGAGAGTCCGAGATTACGTGAATTCAGGAAAAAATTACGCGAACGCGCTCCTATAGGTACGTTACAGTACGTAGTTACATAGTAACAACTTTTCCTGAATTTCTACTCAAGGATTTTAAAGTAGTAAAGAAATCAAACTTTGAACGTGACAGAGAAATTGGACGAGCTGGAGGAGGGCAAGCATCCTTATCAGGAGAAAGAACCCCTGAAACCATTCCCGAACAACACAAATCCAGAAACAGGTGAAGTCGGAGGTCCCCGTGGACCGGAGCCGACTCGTTATGGCGATTGGGAAAGAAAAGGTCGTGTGACGGACTTCTGAATCATCTTCGTTTGAAAATAGCATCTATTTGTTAATAACAATGAGAAATTGTAATAAAAACATTCAATATATTTAAAACTTGAATGTCTGCTTTGAAATATGTTATACGATTAAAAGTTTACTTTAATATTAAGTTAATCGATATATCTTTATGACAATTGGATCTTGTGTAATTAAATTTTAATAAAATTAGGAGATTTGAGATAAATTTATCTAAATATTGATTTAAAACAGCATAGCTAGATTAATCATATAAGAATTGAATTAATATTTGAATTTTAAGCTCAAGACATTTCATTCAAATTTTCAAAAATTGAAGTAAATGTGAAATAAAATTAAAAATGTTAAATGTTATTGCCTTTTGTGAGGCAAAATATTCAATTGCAATCTAGCCATATTGGCGACAGTGTTTTATTAACAAAATTAGAAAAATTATCACGTCATTGTTTTTATGTGATTGTGGACAACCGTATGTTAGTTTTTTCATAAAATATTCGCATGATGATTCGCTTAAGTTGTAATATTTTGACGAATCTACAAACAAGAAATAGACGATTTGTCACAAGTATTTATCAATGCTTCAGAATATTTTTAATTTTCAAACTTCAATGGATTTTTGCGAATTATCTTTACCGTTGCTTCTATATATATGTTTATATAAAATCTTCATTCCATTAGATACAAAAATTAAATGAATAATATATATTTAGGCGCTTTTTTCTTAAAACCAAAGACTTTAAAGGAGTTCTCGGAGAATATCAGAGAGTCGCCACGAATGAAGCAGTTTCACGAAAAACTTAAATTGCAACCGATACCAAGTATGTAATAGCGATTGATAAAAATTAATACAGTGCGCAAAGATATTAGTATGAAATCTTTTTGTAATGACGCGATAAAAGTTTTCATAAGACATTGATTCCTGAAAACTTCAGGATTTTCATATTTTATCCGACTTTTTTTATCGATACGTAGAAGTAGGACCGCGGGAACGGTTCGTGGATTTAGTGTTAGTGAAAACCGACCCGAGAACTGGAGAACTGATAACAAATAGCGAACAAGACCCTACTAAATGGGGAGACTGGCAACACGGTGGCAGAGTCAGTGATTTTTGAAATGGAGGCGCCATGTGTATATTTTTTAATATAGTTTCTATAAATATATTCAAGAACTCGAAAGAATTCTTACTTCTTGACTTGCAATGATCAATTTTTGCATTTGTAATTATACGCGGAGAATAAATTAGATTTAATTATTTCAGTCAGTATTAAATGAAATAATGTAAGTCAAAATTATTTCTTGATATAAAAGAAACAAAAATTAGTAAATGTATATGAAGGAGAGCTCTTGTATTACAAAACAAAAATTGTATATCAGTAACAGGTAATAAATTACAATATACAAAAGTGAGCCTTTTTTGTTGGATTATGATACCCGAGAGTAAGAATTTTTCAAGAAGTTACTACAAATTTGTTAATAACGACATTCCATGTTTGGTACTGTTAATTTCATGACTTTCTTTCTGAAAGTATGGCGACCTACACAAAAAGTTAATTACGTCATAATGCACAGAGATTATCAGTACATTATACATATATATACATATATGTATATATATAAAAATATGCAATGCTTTGTCAAATACTGAATACTGTATGTTAGAATAACAAACATTTTATACATCAAAGCGGTTAAATTTCTCGCTACTAATGAGAAAATGAATATTCAACTAAATTGTTAATAATATCGACGTATATTATAAAGAATATAAAGGTATATAAAGGATCGAATGCATAGCTCTGTTAACGAATGAATTTAAATTGATCCACATTCATTAGTAAAATATATTCTCATGTTAGTAGCAGCGAAAATTTATTTAGCCAAGATATATAATAAATTTTCAAAGAATCTCAATGGCTAAGCCGTTTACGTAAAATAGGAGCGTCAGTTAATTCTATAGATATATCGTATTAAGAAACATGTGTACACGACAATGTAGTAAAAATTTCATTTTGTATTTGCCAGTACGTCTTCAAAATTTTCCAATCGTATCGAAAATTCTTAAAAAATAATATGCTACGAGGTTTACACTGTTGCATACAAGACGCAGATTTTCGTCTTTTTTTGTTCTTTTCCTTCTTGGCTATTGGTCAATAGCAAATAGATCATTTGATTTATCTCACTATGTCTCTTGAACATCTTCTGAGAATATGAAAGTAGCACTGAGATAAGAAGCGCGACATCAGTTGCATTATCAATACAATGCTTCGCAAGTTGTTTTTTCTATGTACATACGCAGCTTCACATTTTATGTAAATTTCTAATACAGGAAGAGAATTTCAGCTTCGTGTCATACCCTTAATACAAGAATAGGTATTACTTGCGCTATACAGAACGTATAAAATTTTGTTCAAAAGTGAAAAATGAAAATCAGACATATTTACATAATGATTTTCTATATATAGTATGATTTTTTTATGTACACACATCAGTTCTATGCAACATGTATAAAGTACTTAAAACAGAATTTATTTAATATAAACCAAAAAAAGCGTAAATATTTTATTCGCAAAAAAAAAAAAAAAAAAAAAAAAAAAAAAAAAAAAAAAAAAAAAAAAAAAAAAAAAAAAAAAAAAAAAAAAAAAAAAAAAAAAAAAAAAAAAAAAAAAAAAAAAAAAAAAAATCTCTTATTAATCATATAAATAGTGCCTGAGTGATTAAAATAAATTTCAAACGTAGTCAACTTTCAGAAATGTCTAAAGATACTTTGATATATATTATTAAACTTAGAATGTAGATAATTAAATAAAGTAAAATTAAGAATATTAGAAGAGAAAAGTTCTAAATGTCGTTTAAACGATCGAATACCGTCAGTCTTTCATCCAGCGTCGACGGATCTGTGTAGTGTAGGTTACATGTGCTTCGCACATTCAAAAGTTATTAATCTTAACAATTTATAAACTATAAAGTTTTATTGATGGCTAACACGTCCCGCATCATCATATTTCTGAGTGTCCACAAGGCGTTTACTACATTCCCATGGTTTCCAACACCGTTACCCAGCCATTCGGCGGGCAGCTTCGTTACATCAGGGATTTGCGTATTATCCGGATTGGCGTTCATCTGTTTATCCCAATTTGATATGTAACGATTCTCTACGTTTAGACCTTCGATGTACCTACGAACAAAAGAAGAATACGATTCAGCATGATGTTGAAAGATAATTTTCCACGAAGTGTTTAACTTAAAGCCAACCTCAAATAGGCGTCCGAATGTAATACGCGACTTGGTGTCGGTGGTACTGCGACGAACATCGGCTCTGGCTGTTTAGCAGTAGGCAAGTTGCTTGTCTGAGTTGCGGCCGCTGAAGTTTCTACGTGAAATGTGTTTTTCCCTTATTCGTATCGCGCGTTTATGTAAAATTTGTAATAATATATAATTACCTGTTTCCATTGGAGGCAATACGGTGGGTCCTTTTGAAGGCATGTAATTTCTATGAAAACACAAACACATGGTGTTTATAAAAGCGTATTTTATAAAATAACATATGAAAAAAAAAGGATAAATATTTACCTGCTTCTTTCAGAAGGTGGTATTATGCGTCCATGCGACTTGAGAATATGTACCTCCTTAACGTGTCTTGCGAGTCTCTGTACACTCGGGAACGGCGGAACAGATTTCTTCGTTCGACCACAACCACGCCACTGACATTGATACTCCACATCTATAACATTAATAAAATATCAGTACAATTTAGTCTTTTGCATCATTCGAAGTTATGCTGCGCGGCTGCGGCTGTACTCACCGCTAGGAGCGTTTGCAAACGACGATTGTACGTGACCGTTCTGCTCCGCGATGCAGTGATCGATGCAATCGGTCATGTCCTCAAACTGCCAATCGCAATTGTCCCAACAACATTCGTACACAACATCTTGCGTGGCGTTCGTGACTATTGCAGTCGTACCTTTTAGCTGACCGCCATCTTCGTTCATTTTGATTGCTCGTTCCTCCCATGCTTGCTTCTCCCCCGCTGGCAATTTCCTCCACTGGAATGAAAGTGATTTTACGTTTTACATAATCAATCCCATCTCGTTGCTCGTAATACGTTAGCAAACAGTTGGCAAAATCATTATTCGCTATTTTAAAAGCGGTTTGCAAACTGTTTCAATGGCTACTCTTTTCTTCACAAAAGACTGGATACAAATGTTTATACTTCGAGTATAATGACGGTAATATATAAATCAAGGCGGAGACGATACAAATTACAATAAAATGTTTATATGGAAAAGTAGAAGCTTATATACTACTCTGATAAAAAAATGCAAAAGATGCATTATTATATTTTGTACACACAAGACATCTACTATATTTATAGGAATAAGGAGTAGCCATAAAACATAATTTACTTGGATATAAAGGATCAAGTATGCTGAATAATGTTTTAGCGATGTGTATAAAAAATATGACATCCCTTTATATAGTCAGTTATGTTTTTTAAATCTTTGCCTTATCACATAAATGGTGATCAAAGTTTACATAATTTAATAAATTTGATGCTTGGACAAAGATATCATGTGATCATGTATGAGAAAATTTATTCCGCATACATTCCTTCATCAAAACTCCATTATTAATGAACTAAAAAATCAACAGTAAAAAAAGAAATAAATACCTCGTTGCCAACAATTCTGCTAATCTCTCCGAAGGATGATTCAGGATTGTTTTGTGTAATCTGCGTTCGCATTTTACTCGAATACAAAATATAGCCCGTAACTAATTTCTTACCCGCCGTTTTCTAAACAGAAGAGAAAACACAAATTATAATGTCACCGTAATTCATGTAAACGAGCATATTGCCTTTACATCTTTTAACAGAGGTAACATCAAATTGTCGATCTATTGTTAAGACAAATGGTGTCTTCAAACGGTGCAGAGAACGAAAAAGAGGTATGTATGCTGGCATATTTCTCTAAATAATAAAAAGAAAAAGTAAAATAAATAAAATATGACGTGTGACAGTAGTTGGTAAGAATGAAAAAAAATAAAAATAAAGTGGTCACGGTAAAGCCTACCTTCTTAGTCGACACAGGTGTCTGAGTATTGGAGAGCACCGGTTGAGCTTCCGTAGATCCAACGGATGGTGGACCACCAGCATCCATGCTGTCTTCCCCAACTCCTACTCCCACTCCCACTCCTAATCCTACCCCCATGCTTAGTACATCTGGTTCCAGCTTCGGTAACAATGGTGACGCTTCCTACACCATTTATTTATATTTATGTTACCTTCGTTATTCCCTTACCGAACACGAGATATATTTTCGCGACTTTATCCAGTAGTAAAAGTTATACATAATAAAAAGAACGTCATCCCTTCTTCGTGTCCATTCAAAGAAAATTAATCGCGACATTCTCCCATTATATTCTGTATATTTTAATCTCTCTCTCTCTTTCTTGAATGTAATGCAACTGATGTAATATTCGTTTTCTATTCTCAATTCGACATCATCAATATATGTACATTGATATGTAACGTATATATGTATAATCGCAACATGTCAATTATTAATTAATTGAAACATTTTGCATTAACAGATTAGTTGATATGTATATTCCAAAGCAAATTCTTCATTCTTATATTAGTTGGATTAGAATGACATGGAAGCAAGATCTTTCGGTGGTGTGCTTTGCGTTCGTATAACATACTAGCGATAAACCCAACAGGTGCTCTGATTTGAAATTGTCGGATGAAACCGCTCGAGACACAAAACTAACACATAGTTACATAATCAAAACAAAAGAAAGAATGAATATGCCGGCATATAGATCGAAAACATGCGTGTAAATGCATTCTGTTGATATAACAAAAATACTTGTATCACACGCAAAATAATTCATTTAGATTTAGAGAAAAGCATGTTTCGCCTTTCGCGTCTTTTTAGTAGACATACTGGCGATTAGACTTTTGCTATATCAGCTTGCGTGTGATCTCTTGAAAGAACGTGCGATTGCATATTGTATGTACGTTACTAAAAATAAAAAATATAAGAGATTTCGTAATTAGTAATTACCATTTCAAATTGAGCTGAGCTGGGCGTAATGGACTTGACTTGACTTTGCGTCTGAGCCACATCGCTCGAAACCTACAACAAACACGCCATGCAAAGCAATAATTTCACAGTTAGTCGCATAGAATGAACTAAGAACATATCTTATTATTTGCCGAATAGTTT